ACAACCATATTTAATGCATTTTGGAGTGCCGTTAACAGGGAACAAATCTAGCCTTTTGTCTTTTCCATGTTTTATAGTATTTAAAAAATTAAGTGAAGCATTATATTGAGTAAATATTGCCCTCGAAAAACTTTTTCATTTTTTTTTACAAGCATGTGCACTTTTGGAATGGAATATTGCTCATACCTCCACCTATAGCATTTGAAATTTTGTATTATAACCTAATTGTATTGTTTGTTTTGATTTTTGATCAATAAAATGTATTTATAAATTGTTATTTTTATGAATTAAAACATACATTAAAACATAAAAAAAAAAAACATTTTTGTTTGTTTTTTGTTTTTTTGACAATGTATTATTTAGATTTGTTTTTAATTTAAGCCACCTGGCGGCGCTACCGCTTTATCAGAGCGCTCGTTGCTGCAGTTGACGGCCCACGAAGAAGCAAAAACGGATTTGTTCTCCCAGAATGCCTTTCACTTCCTCTTCCCTTCTGCGGCCCGAGAACGTAAGTGCCCATACGAATCCCACTGCTGCGATGTCCAAAATAATCCCTTTATATCAATGCCATCAAAGACTTTTACGCTCAAATATCACATCGACGCTTTTACTCGTGTTGTATTTAGCATTCTCAGAGAATATGACTTATATGATGCCGAAGTTAAAATCATATTATGTTGTGTTATGGTAGAGATGATCGCCCGTGTTCTGCCATTTTCTAGTCTCGGACAGGGACTCGGTCTTTACATGAATGCAACTACATGTGCTTACGAATGGAAAATGTAATTGAATTGTAATATCATTAGATATTAATTGTTGTTAGACATAGCTATATCTCTGTATGAATCGATGTATGTATCATGCGGTGCCCTTATTATTTCTAGTATCAGTGTGTTTTATCTTTGTGGACGTTCATTAACGGTGGCTTTTTTTGTTTGTCGAGTTTGGGATCTGGTTTCCGCCTGTTCTTCTAACTATGGTTTGATTCGTTCTCTCCGTATAGATCTCTGAAAATGGTCCGCTATTCACTCGACCCAGAGAACCCGACTAAGTGTGAGTTGGTAGCTAAGTTACTTTTTAGCCAAATGGCTGTGCATCACTGAACATGGGTTTAATTGTTTGTGTTTTCAACAGCATGCAAGTCGAGGGGCTCCAACCTTCGTGTTCACTTCAAGGTAAGACTCAATTGATTCAAGACGCTGACATACATGATCTGTGTGAACCAACTTTAAGTAGGCCTACTGCTCACAGGTTGTATTGCTAAGTGCCACAGTGATCACCTTATTATTTAGCAACCATAATGGGAGCATTTTCTCCATAGGAATGATAATTTTTGCTTGTAAGAACAAGATTAATTGCATTAATAACTTTGTATTGAAGTGTAAAGAGTTTAATTACATTGTTTAAATAATTTTGTGAAGACAAATGTTGGTTAATTGGCATTTATAAATATGAAGTACATTACAAAATCAAAAGTTCAATGGCTGCATCTGAAATTGCATTTGGCTTATTTTGCTGTATCCGAAATCGGATGCTTCCTCCTACTATAAGGTGTAAAGTTTGTTTGAAAACATTAATCTGGGAAAACCCAGACAACTTCTGGTAAATTTAGATTTGCTCTGCAAGTTAGTCTGGCAAAGAGCTCATTAAAACCCATTTCTAATCCGTTGAAATCGCCACACCAAACTGTGAATTTGGATGTGCTATTGTCACATGCTGTTTTTACCTATCATATAGATGTGAAATGCTATTTCAGATGCAGCCTGCCCTTTATCTTTTGGTGTGATTTTAGTTTCATTTGTGATTTTGGTGCAGTCAAATAGCTACTTCATGATCATTAATAATGTATTTCTTAATTTAAACGAAAGGTTAGAATGACCTATCATTTAAATCTTGGCACTTGTACAAAAATGAATGGGATTCTTACCTGTCAGTACCTATCAGTTGCACTCCATGCCTGAATAGAATAGCAAATGCACTGTGGCTGCGATGATGACTACTTAGGACACCTTTTTATTAACCATGAAATGAATCAAGTATATTCTGAGTAGCCACATTTAGTTTAAGTGCTGATGGGCTGATTTACTTGAAGTGGACTTTTATTAATCAATGTCTTGCTGTTCCCCCCCTCAGAACACCCGTGAGACCGCCCAGGCCATCAAAGGCATGCACATACGCAAGGCTAACAAGTACCTGAAGGATGTGATGGTGAAGCACCAGTGCGTTCCTTTCCGCCGATACAATGGGGGTGTTGGCCGTTGTGCTCAGGTGAGATTTTGTCCCGTTCATTTAAAGCTGCCTTTCAAAACTATTCCATCCATGTTGCAATGATGACCATCTTAGGACACCTTTGGAGTTCACTATGAAAATTCAACTTTATTCTGAGCAACATTTATTCTGAGTTCAAAAGTTTGGGTTCTGTAAAAGTCTTATGCTTCAGGTTGCATTTGTCAAATTGGTAATATTGTGAAATATTACATCTTAAAAATAACTTTCAATATATAAACTTGTTTTAATTCTAATGTCAAAGCTACATTTCCAGCATTAATCAGAAATCATGCTGATTTAATGCTCATACATGTATTGTTAAAAATAGTTGTTCTGTTAAATTCGTGGAAAATGTTTTTTTTTTTAAATAGAAAGATTTAAATTCTTTTCATAAATCTGTTTTTTTATTTATATTTAAAGTCTTTACTGTCATTTAGTCACTGTTCACTTTCACAAATGTAATACATTCTTGCTGAATGAGTATTGATTTCTTTGAAAATCTTACTGACCCCAAACTTTAGAAGTCAGTTCAGTGTTTCAGTTTAAGATAACGTTTAGGCTTACAGGTGTTGTCGTTATTTTCCTTTTTTTTTTTTTTTTTTTTTTTTTTTTTTTTAGGCCAAGCAGCATAACTGGACTCAGGGACGTTGGCCCAAGAAAAGTGCAGAGTTCCTGCTCCACATGCTGAAGAATGCAGAAAGCAACGCTGAGCTCAAGGTAGGACCTTATGAACAAATGCACTAATACATTTTCATTTCAACTTGGAATATTTGGCTTGCATGAATGCAGCTTTATCATGTTAGGGTGTTGGCTTTATTTCATCCCACATTGTGATCTTGTAGGGTTTGGATGTGGACTCTCTGGTGATTGAGCACATCCAGGTGAACAAGGCCCCAAAGATGCGTAGGCGTACTTACCGTGCCCATGGACGCATCAACCCCTACATGAGCTCCCCATGCCACATCGAAATGATCCTCACGGAGAAGGAACAGATCGTTCCCAAACCAGAGGAGGAGGTGTCTCAGAAGAAAAAGGTATGGTTGTTAATGTTCTTCTGAAGTAAAATATTTCACTTGGCTGTAATGATGACCACTTAGGACACCTTTGGATTAATGATGAAAAGAATGTACTTTTCTGAGCAGCTATTGTGCATTTAATGGAGTTGTGGAGTTTCTTGTTGAATGCACATTAACTTGTATTTGTTTTCTCATTGCAGGTTTCTCAGAAGAAACTGAAGAAGCAGAAGCTGATGGCTCGGGAGTAAATGTAAATAAAGTCCAATGTTCGTACTACACATTGACTCTGCTTATTTTCTTGTATATTCAGTTTTTCTCATGTCATTTTAAAAGGGGGGGGGGATGTGTCAAACTTCTCAAATAGTCCACTAGTGCCAAACAGAAATATGTCAGTACTAAGCCAAACTTGGGTTATTTGACACTTGACAGGCAGAACACTAGAATTTCCGACTATGAAAAGCCCAAAAATTTAAAAATAGTGGGTCTATTTTCTATTGTGTAAAACAGTGCATTAAACAAAGACTTAATTCAATTTAAATCATTCTTCATTGTATTTATTTGTGTACTTTTATCTTGTGAAGATAAAATGCCAAAAAGATTTGTGGTGATAAAGCAACAGAGTTTAAAATGAAACCCTTGGTGTTAAACTAACTAGTTAGATTCAATATTTTAGTTGTCAATGATTTAAATACTTTTCTAATCAGGTGTTGAAAAATTATACAGTCAGCAAAAGATACAACCAGAGTATGTATTTATGTAACAACATATTGACAGTATTTTTAGGTGGATTAAAATAAGTCTTGCCTCATTAATAAACCGTTGTGTTTTTGGTACGACCTCCGTGCACTAGCAGAGGACATAATGCTATGTTTAACATTAGAGGGCGCTGCTGCACCGCAAATCTTCTTTGCAAGAGATTTTCTCTTGAGGGACAGCATAGGTTATGTAGTAGGCTATATGTGGAAGTAATACCAAGGAATTACATTTTTCTTTTCTGGACTTGAACGTGAATTCTTAATCTTGAGATTTTTTTTTTTTTTGCTTTTTCTGAGTTTATTCAAAACATGCGTAATTTAATAGAATTGTGTAGTACAAATATGCGTTAGTATTATATTTGTTACTCCATTTTATTTCTAAGAGTAAATCTATGAATCCCATTTGTGTAGATATATTTTATGAAAATTCAAATATACGACAGTAATCATGAATCGGGCAATTTTTAATGCAACAGGAGGCTTGCATTAGTTGCTACATCCCAGTGAATGCTATTTCACTCTTTGACCACTAGATGCTGCAACACTGCAGTTTACATTAGGTTATAAACCTTAGTTGGAGTAGGATAGCAGAGTAAAGCATACATCATCATGACACAAAATGTTGCTCTTTGGTTTTATTGCATTAACTTAGGCGATTTAAACAATATTCTGTAACAAGTCAGCCTCTTCATCTTCAATACACTAATATGGTGTTTTGCTAATTAGCCTAGATTAATACAGAATGTGGCTTATATGCATAGAGAGATGTATGCTACATAACCTTTAAAACAGCAGGTGTGAGTTTCTGATATTTCACTTTTATTCAGCTGGCGATTAGTTTATTCAGAAGAAACCAAATAATAGAGTAATATTTGCCAATAATAAAAAATCCAATATCAATTTGGGGTTTTGATGAGACTGGGAAATACAGTTAGCCAGGTGGAGTTCAAAGTTGTAGGCAAGGCAAGTTTATTTATATAGCATATTTCACATTACACTATGGCAATTCAAAGTGATTTACACTGATATGAATTAAAATCACTACAAAATAAACAAAACAGTTATAAAAGGAATTAAAAATAGATAGGCTAAAATGATTCAGTTATAAAATGAATTAAAAGAGTAAAAATATGATCATCTGGCAAAACACCGGTGTAAAATGATAGTGTTTATTCAAGCTTAAACCTTCTGTGATTGTGCTGTGATTTATCGGAGTGTTTAAGCGCTGCATATCCACAGAGACCTTTAAGCTCATAAGATATCCCACTGCCTCACATGACCGGCACGCATGCAGATGTCCCTTTATTTAAGAAATAGATCTCAAATTGACTAAATTGATTTTGTCCCCTTTTTGTATTTAATAGTGGGTCGGATGGCAGCTCTTTTAATGTGCAAATGAGAACCAATGAGGACATACTCCTAAATTCAGTTCAGACAGAGGCACTCAGCTGACACGTAGCACGTCACCGACGGGCTCAGCCAATCACACCCCACCGAGCCCCTCTACTTTCCCAGGCACGCTCTCAAAGTTTTGACTTTTTGCAGCAAAAGACAGCAGGTTGATGAAAATGTTTTATTATCTTCCAGATCTTCATGTGAACTACCCAGAAAGACTCTCTTTTTATTTATAGATTTTAAAACACTCTATCTTTTAAAGGACGGCTCTCTGTTGTAGCATGCCATATTTGCAAGCTCTGAAAGAAGGGTATGGATTTTGCCAGAGGAGATGGGTTTGAAGCTTCGGTACATCTGACTGGGATTTTCTTTAGAGAAATTACTTTTTGTCTGAAGGCTTGAGATTGTGAGGTAGCCTGTTTTGTTTCGTTTTTCTTCTCGGTAGGCTATTCTACGTCCGTGTTCACGTTTTTCTCCGGTCTCCACCGTTTTGCTTCTTGCGCAATATTTAGTTAAAGTTGTAGTTTCTTGGTTATGTTAGCGGTGGGGCAAATGGACGGGTCTCGCCAGAGCGCTTTCCTACTCAATACCCCACCTTTAGCTGCTTTACACAGTATGACCGAAATGAAGACACCCCTTTACCCAGCCTACCCGTTATCTTCCACTGGACCAGCATCCTCCACTTCACCGACAGCTACCTCTCCGAATCCAGGTGGTATCCCCGTGTCGTCCCCGGGGATCAAAACATCCAGTGGACTTTCAGCTCTCGGATCACACCAACAGTGCTCGGTCGCCACCCCTCACGGAATAAACGACATCCTCAGTCGCCCGTCGATGGTCACCGGAATGGCAGCGGCGGCATCTTCTCCCGCTGGGATCTTGTCCGGACTGCCCCGTTTCAGCAGCCTGAGTCCCCCGCCGCCTCCAGGGCTGTATTTCAGCCCCAGTGCCGTGGCGGTGGCTCGCTATCCGAAACCACTGACAGACCTGCCAGGCAGAACCCCGATATTCTGGCCTGGAGTCATGCAAAGCCCGCACTGGAGAGACGCCAGATTTGCATGTTCACCACGTAAGTGCGCGATTCATTCGTGATAACTTTTTTGAAAGGGTGTTAGCGATTGATTTGGCACAGTTAATCATAGGGTGTAAAAATAACCATAGCTGATTTTTATTTTTTATTTTGCCCTCCTACAGATCAAAACTCAGTGCTTCTGGACAAAGATGGAAAAAGGAAACACACTCGACCAACGTTTTCCGGGCAACAAATTTTTGCTCTGGAAAAAACTTTCGAGCAAACGAAATATTTAGCTGGACCCGAGAGAGCGCGGTTGGCCTACTCTTTAGGAATGACAGAGAGCCAAGTCAAGGTAAGGTCCTAATAGTTTAGTTTAGCCTATGTGTGAGAGGGGAACACCTTGACTGACTTGATTATTCCTTAATTCAATGTAGCTTTTAAGAAAAAAAAATCAATTTGGGATCGGCCTATTAAATGTATTTATTCATACCTTCCTATAGGCTATCTGTTAATTTATAACTTTTATGGGTCAATTTATTTCTCTAATGTATTTACATTTTAAAAAATAGTTTCATATACAGGCTATATTAAAGTTATCCAGTCATGGAGTTATCTTAAAACAAATATATTTTTATAAAATTGCACTGCACTGCATTTTTTGTTGTTGTTGCAATTTAATTAAATACCTGAATTAATAATTATATATCCGTTGATATAGGCTAGTTATTTGATTGAATATCTCAGCCTATTTAGCTTCCGATTGGAGTAGGATACAGATATATTTAATGCATAGAATAGGATAGGATTTTTATTTTATTTTTTAAATCTATCTGCCTTTTCATGCAGTAAAAATCTGTTTAATTTGTTTGACACCGAAAAATGTTTTTGGACGACATGCAATTATAATTCGCACTTGATATGCTGATTTTTTTTTTTTTTTTTTTTTTTTTTTTTTTTTTGGATGAAGATATATCATAATTTCTTTGTGGATTAAAATTCGGTTTTATCTCTTTTTTAATTGTAAAGGTGTGGTTTCAAAACCGAAGAACAAAATGGAGAAAACGACACGCGGCTGAAATGGCCACGGCGAAGAAAAAACAAGATTCAGAGACCGAAAGGCTGAAAGGGGCCTCGGAAAATGAAGACGACGACGACGACTACAACAAACCTTTAGACCCAAACTCGGACGATGAAAAAATAACGCAGTTACTGAAAAAACACAAACCAAACTCAGCTCTTATTATCCACACATCGGAAAACGAGAGCTCGTAAAGCGGAAGCGGGAGATGGGTTGTCATATTCATCAAGAAGTGACAAAAATAATTCTGTAGGCTACTGTTTTTCACCAAGTTTGAGCTCTGGTTTGAGAGGAAGGATGCAAATCAGAGGAATATGCACTATTGGTGGAGCTGAACGTGCATCAGTGTCTGCAAAGACACGTTTCAACTTAAAGACAACGGTACATTTTTGTAAATTAACAGCGTGAGTTGTATCGCATAGGCAATTATATTACTGTGAATATTTATGTGTAAAATATTTTGAATAGTAAACATGGCAGAATTTGTTCACTTCGCCTCAGTTTAATTTTTGGTTTAGGCTTTGTGATTTGCATTTTCATATTAATTTGTATAGGTGCTCATAATTATTTTATTTTTTGTCTATGGGTATAAGTTGCCAGCCCTTTTGGCCCTTAAAAAATAATCAACCATGGAAACATAGAATCATTTTTACCACTGATGGTTAAAGACATAAGCGACAGCCTCAATTGAGGCTCAGCCAAAAAAAAAAAAAAAAAAGGCCATAACAAGTGTAAATATAAACAAACACCTAACCATATATTTGTAATATAATGCTAGTGTTCGTCTCCCAATGTTAGAATGTTTCTTTATTTTTTTTTCATGATTAATTTATGATATTTTAAGTTTGTAACAGTGTTTGAATCCTGCAAAATGCGCCTTGCAGGTTGTGTATTGCACTTTTATTTAATAAAATGTTAAACATATGGGATATTTTTTTCTTTCTGTTATTATCAAATTCAAATCGAATATAAATATTTTGTGAATAAACTTAAACGAAGTTTTCAAGCATTAATAGGCTACATACGCTGGCCGATTCTTGATTAATTATTGAATCTTCGCTACAAAGTTGTCTCACTTTTAGTGAGTTATTGACATGGAAACTCATATTAAAATGTATTTTATATATAGTCCTATAAATATTTTGTATTATTATTCGTTATTCGACTACATCAACACAGTGATCTGTTTCATTTCAGTAATTAAATAAACCTGTTTTGTTATTGCTCTGTGTGAATACAATTGATTTAAAGACAATTGCTCCGAACTCTAACATAATTTAGTAGATTTTTTCGATATATTTTCGTTCATTGAGAAATGTCGATGAAAAAAAGACATAACTGGTGGGAAAATGAAAGTAATAAAGCGTTTGGTCTTCAGCTGATCGCGTCACAGCTTCAATATGTCAGCTGATTCGCGCGATTAGATCACCATGTTCTTTGGAAATTGAAAACCACTCAACCGATTTGTTCTCAACTAACCAACAGAAATTTTTAATTTATAAGGTGAGATGATGCACCGTGCAACGTTGTACTATCAGAAAATATTTTGAGCTGGTATTTTTGAAGGACAGCATGTTCAATGCTTCTCCACAGTTTATCAACCAATATGATTTTTATTTTTTATGGAAGCGATGCTGCATTATTGTAGTCACTAGGCAGTTATAAATAATAATAATTAAAACACTCACATTTTTATTTCTAGGCTATTTATTTTACTCATCTAGCCTAATGATATTTATTGTGATGCAACTCGAGTTTTATAAAGGGTTGCCAAAAAAACGAGATGTTTTAAAACTGTTATTAATCCGGGGGAAAACATTTAGCCATGACAGCCTTTAGATGTTCAGCATTTTGCACGTTATCGAATGCACTTGGCAATTGGATGTGTCTCAGTGCATAGCCTATAAAATCGTGTATGAAATAAAACTATTTAGGTTGAATTTACAACTAAAAAGTTACGATAAAACAACAATATATATATATATATATATATATATAGCCTATTTTAAAGATATATAGGGCTAAACTATAGCCTATAAAGGTTATTATCATATAAAAAAAGCAGAATGCCTGATGATTTGATGCATCACAGAATGTCATGCATCAACCAATGTCATGGTTCTGAGATGAAATTCCATTTTAACAACTTTTCTTTGGTTTCTTTGAGCAAATCATACGCTTAAATTAAAAATATCATTATCATTCCAACCAATTTGCAAGAAAGTTTTCATTAATAGGCTACAATAAAATAAAATTGAACATTCTTCCTGACACATGTTGAATTTTGCCTGGTTTGTTTCCAGCATTCTAACTGCAATTAAACATTTTTCAACTTTTGCAACATGTTCTCTTTTATTCGGTGGTTGCATCAATCAAATTTACCCAACAGGGCTTTGACTTCCAATAATAATAGTAATAATAATAATAATAATAATAAACAGACATTAGAGAACGTTTTCAATACGAAAACGTATACTATAAACCTAGCTATATTTGTTTCTTATCCGTTTTAACGATTTGTCTTGTAGTGTTTTCCAAAAACATCCACGTTGTTTTCATTGCATCATTTCTTGTAGGCTCGAGATTATGTCAAACTCTAATGAATCTATCCTTATTTTGCTACATGTGTAGGCCAATGACCTGATGTCAATAAGGTATCAAATTACTGTTGAGCGAGAGCTTAATGAACTCTCATCTACAACAATTAATCTCTGATTGCTTCACATTAAAATACATTCATGAATATGCTCATTAGCAGTATACTGTACAAAGCCATTTCAAATGAGCACATCATGAAATGAGCTAATGCAAAAAAACCAAACAATGCTGAATGGCGAGGGCGACTGAAAACGTGAAAGTAGATGACTTTGAACGCACCATTATTTAGTAAATGATCAATACTAAAGAAGTTTTGATTTATTTAATCTTTTTATTAATTAGTTTTATGATTATGTATGAATGATGGAGTGGGGTTAAAGTGACAGGTTTCTTTACCATTCCTCTTCATTTATGGAATCAATGATTAAGTGAACAATACTTCATTGTAGACGTCATAGACAAATTTCTATATTATTTTCAACTCAAATGCATATAATGTCCCTACATTTCTAAAGTGCAATGAAAGAGGCAGAGCAGGTGGACCATGCATACAGGCAGGAAAGACCCGGTTCTGCAGGTTTGCTCGTTCCCTGATCTGAGTAGAATTATGATCCATCACCAAGGTCCAGGTGTGGTGAACATGGCGTCTGCTCCTCAGGGGAGACATCTTAGCATCTGCTGAGTGCCTGCTGATGTACTGCTCCAGGAACAGTGTTGGGGATGCAGCTGGCCACATGATCCTGGGTCAGTGCTGCTCTCCCATCAGACACTTGTTGTAAGCGAGGTTAATTAGTTGAGAAATAGCATTTGCCTCCCATAGCCCTTACCTGAGATGACATGCATATTGAAAATGTACAGTTTATCACCAGATTCATAAATTAATTTAAAATTCCCAAATTTAAACTGGGCAGCAGTAAATGAAATTCATAACAAGACATTTTAACTTTCAATTCAATTCAAATTTATTTGTATAGCGCTTTTCACAATACATATTGTTTCAAAGCAGCTACAGAAAGTGCATTTCAGAAATGTACATGCTGGAAAAATACATTTAGATAATAACTTGTTTGAAAATTTTGAAAAAAAGTAATAAAAAACGTTTTAGATAGAAGAAAGAAAGAAAGAAAGAAAGAAAGAAAGAAAGAAAGAAAGAAAGAAAGAAGAAAGAAAGAAAGAAAAAAAGATGGATATAAGATAGATAGATATATTATTAAATACAATTCATGCCTGATTGAAAAAATATATAAATTATGTGGAATTGTTAAGTTCACATAACTTATTTTTTTTCAATTACACATGGAGTTTATACCTAATTATTTGAAGGTAACAGGTTTCTTCATGTTTTTTTTTAAGTTAAGTCAACTGATCACAGTTTATGTAATGTTTAATGAATTAATGTTTGTAGACCAGGGTGGAAGAACACTTAATTTCGCAGAAATTAACCTGTGCTTAATTTCTCTAAATTACAATGCTGTAACTTCCTCCTCATTCCAGTCATTCCAGTTTAACTTCCTGTTCATTATTTTAATGTATCAATGTGTTCTATATTTTAATGAAAATTATCATGTCATTCAGTGTGCAATTAGAGA